GTCCGCTGGAAAGGCATCCCCACATCAACTTGCTCCTCTGAATGCAGCCATCAAGGAGCAAGGCTATCACCTACTGCTACTCCAAGTGTCGAACTAGGGCCTGAGGTCAGGAATGGACTGCATGCAGACCAACACATTCAGGCTAAATTCAGACAGGACAGAAGTGCTCCTTGTCAGCAGAGCAGCAGAACTGAGAATAGGAATTCAGCCTGCTTTGGATGCCGTATGCTACCCTTGAACAATAAGGTATGCAGTGGGGAAGTGCTCCTGGGCCTGACTCTCCCCGCCCCCAGATACCCAGGTAGTGGCTGGTGATGCTCCGTCTACAGCCCCCTTTTGGGCAGAGATGCTTATGAGAATCTCTATCGCAGTGATTCTCGTTTGTGCTGATGAATGCCAACAGGAGCCGTGTGGTGGAGCCAGGGTTTTCAGGGATGATGCTCACAACTTCCTCAGACTTCCCCGTGCCCTCTGAGCTTTGCTGCAACATTCATATTTGCTGTGATAATCAGGGGAGGATAAATTTCCCCAGAAACGATAGAGTAGTGAGCAATCCCTGTTGCAATGCAAAGCATTTCATGGTTGTCTGGTCTTGAATGAGTAATCAAGACACATTAAGTTTATGGAAAACCTGCACCTGCTAGTGTTCCATGAACACGGTTAGAACTGGTGTGTTGGTATGAGTCAACGGAGCTGCCTGCCCTTTTTGGACTCTTCTTGGAGATGTGCTTATAGTGACTGACATGATGCCTGCCCTTTCACCCCACACCACTGGAGCATGGCTACAAATGTCAAAGTCCATATAAATAAAAGCATCCATGGAAGGAAGGCAAACCTTATTCCTGGTTCACAGGAAGCAAAGTTAGAAACAGTCTGGGAGAGGCTCTTGTCTATATGACCCTATGTTATCTACCTGGTTAGCAAATGACCATTCCCACCAGATGCTTACCTGACCCTCTGCTGGCCTTGGCAGGGACTGAATGCAAGGCCAGCCATCTGCATGCAAGGCAGTTGCCATGACTGCTTCCACTCTCCATTAGTTCCCCGTTAGCCACTGCGCCATCTCCTGGCTTCCTATGAACTGAACAAACAAGATGTGACGTAACCCAGTCTCTGGGCTGCATCCTGGACTCTCTCCAGTTCAAATTTACCTCTGCCATAAACTCAGTGGGTGCTGCCACTGTCTCTGGGCCTCGGCTTCCAGTCAGCAAGATGGGGCTCTTGCAAGATCTCCAAGAGCAGATATCTGAAGCATTTTGAAAGGCTAGAAGCTGCTACTTAATGCTACTATTTCATATTCTTCCTTCAGGAAGAAGAGACGCCCACTGGGCCCAAGGTGGGTGTGGGTAAAATAAAACCGCATCCCAACGGGGAGGTGGTGAATGAAATGCTGATGCTGGGTCACATGCCTTCCTGCTGGTGCCACAACAGCATTTCCTGAGTTCCCTTCCAGCACAACAAACTCTTGCCACATACCCAGAAAAAACACCATCAGCAGGGTTATTCGCCAAGCACTTCCCCAGATTGTGAGGAGGAGGAGGAGGAGGAGGTCATTATTATCTGCTCCAGTAACAGACTGTCAGCTCTTCAGTTGATGTTAAAGAAGCAGTTTTGTTGGCTAAGCAAGTTTGGAAAAATGATGAACAGGGCTGATCATCCTCCTTGCAGGAAGCAGTTGGTCCAGCTGGTTGAGTATTGGGTGCTTCTGTGGTGAATAGATCAGATTTGCTGCTTCAGCTCCCACCATTCCTGACCATTGGCTTTGCTGACAAGGTTTTCTGGGAATTGAAGTGCAAAAGATTTGGAGAAGTATTTTTTGCTCATCCTTGGCCACATGACTGGCAATGGCTCCTGAGGATTTTAGCCAGGAGCCTCTTCTGGCTGTTTCGGGAGCAGTCAAGGACTGAATCTTGAACTTTTTTCATGGAAAGTAGATGCCCAGGTACAGAGCTACAGCTCTGTCTTCTGCATTTTCAGTACTTCTGGTGATGCTCAAACCTCTCAGGAGGAATTCAAGCCACTGATGAGCCACCGTTCTTTCTACAGTTCTCATCAGGTCAGACTTCCCTGTGACAAATTTATTACATAGGTTGGTCACCTTCCATTTTTAATCACCTATTTAAAGTCAGGATGGACCACTTCTTATCTTCCATATATTTTGGCCAACATTTCTCCTTGGCTGTGCCCTAGCCAGCATAGCCAATGGTGAGCTATAATGGGAGCTGCAGGCCAAGACATCTCAAGGTGGCTGGAACATGGGGCAGGAGGGCTTCAGCAGTGGCGAGCCCTCACCTGCAGCGCTATGCCAAGGGCCCACTAGGGTCTGGCGTGGCCCCGAAGCAGGTGCAGGCCTTGTGGTGCTGGCAAGCACCAGTGTATCCCCAGGCACCTTCCTTGGTGTCCACGGAAACATCCCTCTCCTCCCAGTTTTTGTTTTGAAAGTATCTTTGCATTTTCTTGCAGCTAGGATTGGGACAGTGGAAGAAGAGCCTGTGGTGGCTGCCAGATTAATTCCCCATGAATGCTTTTGGCAAGATGACTTGTCTTTTTGACAAGTTGCACCCACCCATGGCAGACATTTTATACTCATGCCAGGGACAGTTTCTCAAATTTCCAAAGATGCCCAAAACGTTACTTACCATCGGCCTAGAAGCTATTCAAAAGAGGAAAACTAGCTCTAGGGATAGGGATTTAAAAAAGACACCTTTCCACAGTCTTACATTTCAAAGCTGCTGACGCTTCAGTCTTCTTCCACTTCTCTATTCTTCAACCTTTTTCCTCAAGGATGATGGACAGTTAGTGAGTGTAGATGAAGCTTTGAAATGCAAAACTGGAATTCAGGGGGAAATGGAGCCATGCTATTTTGCGATCAAAATGAGGTCAAATGGTGCAAAAATGGGGCTTGTTCCTAAGTGAAAATGTGCACTGCTTTAATAACGCAATTTTAATCTTTAAGAAATGTAAGAGCTTCCGCGAAAGAACTGGGAAGCTCTTTTGTCAAGTTCAAGTCAGGCCGTTAGCGGTTCAGCAAACCTGCAGTGATGACATTACCTGCATTTTCATAATTTGCAAGTCGGGATCCTGGCCAGCTGCTCTTTCAAACCCCTCTGCTCTTATGACTGATTGGCACAGGCAAAGGGACAGGAAACAACCCAGTCCTTGCCACAGGCACTGCTCATGAGAAGAGTATGCCACGCACACAACTGTGACACACAGCGAAGCATCATGTCGGGACCAAACCTGAGCTTCCTATCTTTCTATTAGGCTGCAAGCTGTAAGGCACATCTCAATGGAGACAAGGGAAATCAAAACGAGAGCACAGTATTGAGAGCAGAGCAGAAAGAGGCTGCTAGTTACATGCTGCAAAGAAACCCAGTATTGCACAGAAGAACCCCTGGGGGAACCCCCAAATTCACATGAGTTGAAACATTTGAGGGAGTACATCCTTAGCCTTGCTCCTGAGAAGTCCTGGGCACTTGGAAGAAGCCTATGATTTATATATATGGAGCAGTTTTGGAGAAATTCAACATGCAGTGTCAAAACTCAACAGATCAATCTGCTCCCAGATGCATGCTCAGTATTGCTTCAGGAATGGTTGTATCAGGTCCTGAGCAGTGAAAAGAAATGTGTAACAGTCACTATACGAAACTGTATGGTACCATCAAAGTAGTGAGGCTGCAGGAAGCATGTTTCAGAGATGCTTCTCTCCTCAAATTTGTGCACTGTTTCAGGAAAAGGGTAGGCTAAATACCTTGTTTCTGAGCACAAATTCCTTTAAGAAGTGTATATACTACTGAGCATATTGAAAAGTATGAGGTTGCTTGGTAATTGACTGCTCAGGCAAAAGGGTCACCTGCAGGAAGAAGAAGGAAATCTTGAGGATGCTTCTGGATGATCTGGTGCTTTGGATCAAGAGGTACAGGACAGCTATCTTTTACTCCTTAATGGAGTTTAATGGAAAGAAAAATAGATGTTGTAACAGAAAAAGAAAAGCTGGACCACATATGCAAGACAACAATGCCTAGACCACCCCATCACATTTCATACATGGAGTGAGGGGGAGGGTGCTGCAAGATTCCTTGCCAAGAATCTTGCCAAGATGCAATGCAGGAGTTTGCGATGAAATTTCAGTGGCTTACAATGGACAATTTTAGCTTGAAAACTAAACTTCCCCGGGGCCCCGGGAGGTCAGGGATGGGGGTGAGACATGGACAGCCTGAGGGTGCCCCTTCCTGTTCTAGAATGTCTGGCGAGTTTTCAGGGACTGAAGAGATGAAAGTCTCACCAAGAGTATGTTTGTCCATAAGCAAGTTTCTGAGAGACAAGGAAAAGGTTATTTGTCTTCCTGTGGCCTAGAGAAAACCTTCCAGGTGTCCATGCGTTTAAAATATTGACACAACAACTCATCCGAAATTGATTCCAGGGTAGTTCACAGGGATTAAACCACACACAGTTTGAATTCACTCCACAGGTATCTTTCAAACCACATACAATTCCAGTTGAAGCCAGATATTGTTAGCCACCTAGGAAAACCTTGGCAGTTATAGGTGGCGTATAAATACATGTATAAACAAACAAGCAAACAAACGGCCAATAAAAGCATTAACCATAGTTAGCAAGTGGGAGAAGTTGGTGGCCTGTGGATCAGGCTTGCATGTGGCCTGAACGCTTTGTGTGAATGGAAGCCTGCGGTGTTTTGGAGCATGGGCCACAGGGATGCAGAGGTTCAGCACAGAGCTACAAAGAGCTGCAAACATGGCCAAGTCCAGGTGGCAGTGGAACTCTGGACTTCCAAGGCAGTGCCTCTGCTCTATGGCAAATGCTCCTGAGACTCAGGAAGGTTACGTGGGGTCTGCTGGTATGCAGTGGGGAGGAGCTGCTGCTTTGAAATGGGGATAAAACCTTTAAGGACGTCACAAAATGCTTGACAGCAGCTGAAGCAATTCTGACCACCCATCTACCTTCCACCAAGAGGAAATAAAGGAGAGGAAAACTAGCAATTACATGGATGATGCATTTATTGCACAAAGTTCCCCTAAAATTGGGAATGGTTATTATAATACAAGTGCACATCTTGGGAAATATATTTATATATATATAATATATATATACAAAAACACAAAAGATAACAAGTATGTACATTTTGCCCAGCATATTACACATACCACCATCTACATAATTTAGAGGAGACTGAAAACAAAACAGAGAAAACCTTCTTGAAACAGCTACCTTAACTAATAGAGATTTTAAAGACAAGATTTGAAATCCTAGTTTGGATTCATCCTCTTTTGTGTGTGTTGTTTTTAGCAGCCCTACATTTTCAAGCTGCAGTGGATTTTTTTAGATGTATGTGCAATACACTTAAATATTTTCAGCCTTAAAATTAAGACATATTAATGGACATGGGAAGTATTGCAAAATTCAAAAAGATTAGTTCTGTATATACATGTTTCTGAAAAGCATGACAAGAGGTCAACACTACAGTGCTGTTATAATTCCCTTTTAAGAAGAAAACAAAATCGAAACAAAGGTGTGTGTACATAGTACCTTGATTTTGCATGTACCATAAACAAGCTATCAGTTACAAGAAAGCAGGCTACAGTAACCATTCCAGCAACATCATTAGAATGAGCATTAAAACCTTTCAATACCAAACCCCAAATGAACTGGATGCTGGGAGTGGATAGTTCACGCCTGGTTGTCTGATGCTGCTGAAGATGCTAGATCAATGGCAATGCTTAGTACGACCTGAATAATGGTCACATCAAATTGTGGTTCCTATAAGTAACTTGCCACTGCGGGTATGACTGAGGGCGCAAGGACTGGCCTGCTGGGACATCACCACACCTCCTGCTGTCAAGCAGGGCTGCGAGCTCAGCCAGAAAGCAGCCTGAACGGCTGCTTCCAGGACAACAGTAGCTACCTGATGTAGCACAGCACCTGCACAGACAGCTGTCACATTGCACAGAAATGCGACAGGCATATGTGGGACAAGCAAGAACTGGAGACCAGTCACCCCAATGTCTTCAAAAGCCACCGTGGAACAAGCAACATCAGTACAAAATTTGAAACAACCCACTTTCTCAAAAGCAGAGTGGAATAACGATTATTGAAAAGTGTAGACTTCTAGATGAGGGTCTCTTTTACTTAACACCTTGTGTCATTTGGCCTGTGAAGTATTCATTCAGAATAGCATCTAAAATTTACGAAGGAAGGAATGACAGATGAACCAAGCAGAAGACTTCATTTCCTAAGGGCAAAACAAACTTTCCCCAAACTGGTGCCCCCCTGTGGATGGTGGGCATTGTAGCCCAACACATCTGGAAGGCAGCAGGTTGGGAAAAGCTGATGCAGGGGCTTCAGCTGAGCAAATGCAGTGGTCTTACTGAAGCTGGCACAAGGAAGTCTTCTCAAAACCACCCCGGGCCTTAATCTGTACTGAAGTCAGCAGGTCATGCAATCCTTTTCAGGACCGCAGCTTTCATCTGCACACTGAACAAATGGTTAAGAGCTTTGTCAGATCAGGATGGGAATGCTTGGAGCCTTTTGCTACCGCTGTCTCTAGAGGAAGGTCTGGGATCACTGGTATTTGTAAGATATACTAATTGTGGGGTAGAAAGGAAGAGTAAATGTACATTCCGGTTTGAGGTCCAAATAGGAACCACTCTGTGTTTATACATTCATTTCTGGGGAAGAAGGTAGAAAACAACAGAACATTGTATGAAGCAGGTGCTGCCAGAGCACAGAAAAAGCCTGTTGTCTAAAGCAGTGCACGTTTGCTTTTGTTTACATACCAGCCTCCAGACCACAGAATTCAAATTCATAGTTTAGCTCAGTTAAGAATGTAAACGGGTCACTGGACAAGAACAATCCACATGAATGAAAATCTGATCATGTATTTCCCTTTATCAAAACAGGCTCCAGTTTCAGTTTAAGGTTTTAAAATACCTTCTGTGTTCAGCCCAGCAGGGTTGCCTGTGCAGTCAGCTTCAGAAGCAGAACGAGGCTCCCGCGTGCATGAAGGGCTCTAAGCCGCCACTTAGCAGCAGGGACCCAATGCGCGCATGGGGCTCTTGATCAAGGCTGGCGCGCTGCAAGCCCAAGCTCCATTCGATCCCATCACAACAAGCAGGCTTTGTGATCATTTTGCTGGCACAGCTCTCTGCAGTGGAATCAACCACAGCGCTCCAAAACCAGTGTTTTCACATACGCTAGTCGAGGAAAGGGCCTGATCTGGAAAGGCCTTTACTGACACGATTCTCATTGAACAAAGCCTCAGAGCAGCATGTGCAACCGTGAAAGCCACATTAGGCGGCCTGCTAATTCCTGATGAGCTTGGGGCTTGCAGACGTCTTGACAAAATAATTCAGGGCAGGGGAGGTTGTTGCCCTAACATAGCCGCCATATTCCTAGCCTCAGTCCTGCCATGATAGCTTGACTGTGGCCCGATGTGGCAGAGGAAGGGGTGCAGGGAAAAGACATCTTGTTGGCAGAATTGGATTGGCGAGGCGGCCTTGCTGTTTGTGGAAAGGTCTGCCCAGGTTTTTAAGCAAACCCGTTTGGAACCCATATGGTCACTCCATTACCACAAAGGGTAAGCAGGGGGACGCACATCATTCAAAGGAAAAGGGGTTTATGGTGGTGAGAAATGATAGGGTACTGCTGCTGCAGAAGATGAATGTTGGGTTTGGGTTCTCCAGTTAGTATTTCGACAAGCTGCATAAGGACATACGCAATATAATGGATGTGATTATCCACGAAAATGCTAAAAATTTAAAATGAATAGTTAAAGGCCCAAAATGCATGCGGGGGGGGTGGGTCCTCTGTCACAACTAATACAACAACCACAGGAGGTGACAGTGGCACACAAGAGTGCCAAACCACTGATGCTGCTAACAAGGGAATTTGCATCTCTTAAACTCCAATGACAATGTGAGTACCGGGCAGGGAAGAAAGAAATGCTGGCAAAACCAGAAGGAAATAAATTACCTAGCCCTAGCCATCGGAAGGGAAAAAAACCTAACACGTTTCAAGTGCACTGTCACCTCTGTTTCTCTCAAGCATAACATAAAATTATGAAATGGCTGTATAAGTCCTGAGAAATATCCAGCATAATGGTGTTATTTTAATGAAGTTGGGACTATATACCTTTGATTTATGTTGTCAGATGACACATGAAATCTAAACACTAACCATTAATGCAATTAGTCACAAGCATTATGACTGATGCCTGGCTAGATACTAGGGTAAATGAGAAAAACTTTTAATACAGCATCCCATTATTGAACCTGAGGTAGAAAAGCCTAATCTGAGAATCATCTAGCCACCTACCATATGTATTTCTTAGAACGGATGGGTCCCTGAATAGACATCTGTATTGAAGAATAAAGGCGAGAACAGTGCAGAGGTAAAGGATGAGTAGACGGACGGCACATTAATAGCTACAGTTTGCGGTTCTTCTCACTTAGGGCTGCAGTCCTGTGAAAACCTACCTGGCAGTATGTCTCACTGAACTCACTTCCAAGTAACCTGTACAGAACTGCACTGTAAGCCTGCTGTTAAATAAATAGGTCAGAAAAGCTGGTGTCATTGGGTACTTTGTCTAAAATGTTGTCGACATAATTATTAAACCACGGAGCAAAACCAGCCCCAACTTCAAAACAGCTTCTGTAATATACCTGAGTATTTATGCACAACATTTTTTTAAGTACTCTCACGCCTCATCCAATCATATTTCCCATGGTATGAATTCTCTTTACTTCATACTAAAGCATCTGAAATCTGAAAATGGGCACAAACTTATATCCTACTGAGATCGAGGGGGTTTCAGCGTGTAGTGAAGTGCGTAAATTCCTTGGATTTTAAAGGAGTTTATGGGCATGTATCTTTTCTTTATAACAGGACTCGAATCAAGACGAAGAAAGCCTTAATTTTTTCCCGCATTTTGGAAAAATAAGCAGTAGGGAGGCTTTACCACATGTGTTTTACCGCAGCATCTGCAAAAGCATCTGCCAGAAAAAAATTGTTAGTCTTCAAGGTGCCATGAGATTCTGTGAAGAAAATTGCAGAGAAATTGCCTTTTCTAGTCTGGGTACTGTTTGTTTTCTAGTGTTCTTAGACAACAGCATCAAAAAGCACAGCATCAGTAACATAACTGAGGGAGAAATTATACATGTCTTTTGGCTTATATACTCAGGCTTTCTCTCCATGGAAAGTGCCTAAAATTCCTTTCAGAGCAGAGCATGGGTCACTGTCCCAACACCCTGCCTGACTTTCAATGGCTTCCCCACCCCTATACAGAAAAAAAAGAGATAGTCAACACTTAACCTTTAACGCTGAAATGGTCAAAATTGTTACAGGTTATACAGATTATAATCAAGTGTTTTAAATGCTCTCCTAATTGGTACCAAGTAGCCAGCTAGTTCCATTCTCTCGTATAAACAGTAACAGCACTGGATAGGGTGATGAAACAGATCTTTTTCCTGGTAGTCCATAATTTTAACAGTTTGTAGTTTTATCCGTTTTGGCAGTAACTGTCCAAGCCATTTACGGTCCTCCAAGCTCTAGTGTCTTCTTTAGTGACCTAAGTCTCTGGTCTGATTTTCTTTTTAAATGAATGGGAAATGAAGGAAGCGGGCAACGGCCCCACTTGTTTGTGCCTTATGTGTTCAGCTGCAGGGGCACAAGTCACCAAGCTGTTCGCTTCATTTGCCCGCAGGCAAGAAAGAGCCCGGACAAGAGTGGTTCATCTCTGCTTCCTGGTATTCCCTTGTATGCATAAAAAAGGACGTTATTGTCTTTACCCTTTGGTATTCTAGAGCAGAATCTGGGCAACATACGGAGAGTGGGTGCTTGCTACAGCTGCCAGCAAAGGGAGGTCGCTCGATTCAATCCTAAAGAACAGACAAGTATTTTCAATGCACAGTCTCAAATGTTCTGAAGCTCATTAGTATGGCACAATATTTTTCTCACGTCTAGGTACCTGCCCTTGGATTATTAAAACAGCAGTAGTTGTATATTTAAAAAGCAGAGCCTCTGAACTGTCACACTAGATATACTGCGATGACCAAAATACATTTCAGTAATTAAAGTGCACACTCATTCACTTCATAAACACACATGACTGGGTTGCTTGTCGCAAGAAGTCTTCCCCCTGGACTAGTCTGGCGACAGGTCGACATTACTAGGGACTTAATTGTTTCCAGCTGTCTTGGGAATCAAAGTACATGGAAGCAATTTGGAAAACTGCCCATGAACCCCAATGATTTTCAGATTTAAACAACTGGGTTGAAAGAAGTAGAAATGAATAAATGAGCTCCAAACAGGGAAGAAAAGCTGGGAAAGAAGTGTGCTTTTATGCCTCTGAACAGTATACACTGCTTGTAGATCGCTTTAGGGATGGGCAGCATCTGGCCAGAAACAGCATATTGAAACATATATACAGCATAGTGCATCAATAATGCTATGTATACGCCAAGAAATAATTTACTTTTCCAGGAGTTTTATTAATAGCTGGCTGCTATTGCCACTTTTAGAATACAGGTCCCTCTTGCTTCTTCTGTAAGGCGGTAGTGCCCATAAGCAAGTAACAGCTGGTTTTGGAATTCCGCCTTTTGCTGTTCCTAGTGGATGGAAGTAGGCCAGGAACAGATGGGCTGGCTGTCACTTGGGACTTTCACTTAGTCCTATGCGTGGGGTCTCAGATGCATGCAAGTTCAGTGTGCAAGTGACTTGCACTGTAACCCTAAGCACTGATCCTAAACATCAGAGGGACTGACTTCCTAGCAAACACCATGTCACAAATTTGAACTTTTCATAGTTTCTGCAGTGTGCTCTGAACCTTAGGGAAAACCTACAATATGCTCAAAAACAAAAGGATGCCTTTTGTAATAGCAACTTACTGACAGCCTTACTGGACAAGGTCAGTGTGCCTGGATAGGGTCTCACACAACATGCCACGCAAAAGCCCAGTAGCAGCATCAGCTATTGCAGACTGGCTATTCAGATCAATGCTAAAGACATATACATAACAGGCCAAGAGAGTTATACTCAATGGGGCTCATACCCGAGTACCACTCCCAGCTCCTTCACGTGAACTCTCATCTGGCCTTTCAGATACTCCGACAACATTTTGCTCTTGAAATAAAGCTCCTGCAACCGGTCCTCCAGATGCATGACACACTGGGGATAAATGAAAAGAGGAACCATGAGGTTACAAACTACTCCAACCAAAGCAAAAGTAATTAAAAAATATAATTAACCCATTCATGCTGCATTTTTAAGGCACGCTCAGGTAAACTGAATATGCTTATGTCTTTAGTAAGTATCTCCAAACTTTCTTTGGACTTTGAAAATAAAGGACTATAGCTGTACAGGAAGCAACCCTCTCTAATCAGAGGGAGAATTTGGTTGAAATTAGAACATGTTATTTTAAAAAACAAATTGTCAGACAGCTATGATTAGCTCTTAACAGCTTGTTAAGATAGATATTACTGCTTGTGCTTTCACCAGATTAATACAATAACAAGGATCTTTTATGAAAATGTTTACTTCTGCAAAACACATCATCCTACTCCACCCCATTTCACCCTGTGAAATGAAGCAAAACTATTTGTTCAATCAGACTGGGACCAAGACATGTTGCCCTCATTCTGATTTAGCTTTGCTACTACACCCTGTAGCCAAAACCATTTGACTACATGGCATCTTCAGGCTTCATACATGATTCCTGGTTAGTTCAGATGCCTTCTGAAGACATCCCTGATTAACTGTGTGTCATTTTTTGTGAACAGTTATGGACAGTTAAGCAAGAGAAGTGAAGTAAGAAAGGTAAGAGAGGAAGCATTGCTTCTCCTCCAAACTTCCCTTTTGGTCTGATAACCTTCACAGATGAAAATTCAGTGCAGCCATGTGTGTTGCTGAAAAAAGCCAATGTAACTCTGAGCAGCTAGGTATAGCTCACCCATGCTGTGCAGCTCTGAGATCAACTCTGTCCACATAAAAATGATGATAAATTAAACCACAACTGTTCACACAACACCATTCCTACAATTAATCATGAACATTAACTTGTTCTGAATCTATCCTCTGCTGCACACCCCTGATGAATCTGACTGATCTGTTAGATTAAGTACAGGAATATTTAAAAATGCAGAAGTATTTTCCATCATGCACCTTCCAGTGCTCACTACTTGCAAATGTGTAATATAGGGTTTATAAATGCATAGATTCAAACAGGGCTGCCAACAGAAGCCTTTCCTACCCGTACCTGGAGATGCCAAGGTTAACCTGGAATGGAACCTTCCACCTGAGAAACATCCTTGCTAGAGGATGCCACCATGTTTCAGATGGAAAAAAGTCCAACTAGAATCAAAGCTAACTAGAGAATACTGAACTGTAATATATTTTGCTTTCAGATGGAGCACTGAGTCAAAGAAATGGCTCACTCCCATTTATACTGAGATTTGATCAGATACTTACAAAATTTGGAGATAAATTATGCTTATAAAGTTGAAGAGTGGAATGGAGCAGGTTGGAGACCAGGTTGGAGACTAGTACATCTTTCCCCAGTTTATTGTCGATGATTCGCCTCTGACTACTGGCTACTTGCACTGTCCACTTATCCGTGTCTGCGATAATGCAGACAGCTTCTGCAATTGGTTCATCGAGAACAGGGTGCTAGAAGGGAAATAGTCTGAGAAGTAATTTCTGAGTATCACTCTTGGGTGAGAATTCTCCTTGGAATGAAAACTTGGAAGGATTTAGCACCTATGTATATACTCTGTCATATATTAGTATGCAGGGCTTTGGGAAAAGCAGTAATCATGAAAGGCAATCAGTAAACTTATGCCTTACGACATAAACAGTAGGCAAGGGCCAGGAATCAAAGAATTCCCTAACTGCATAACTGCATGACTGGACAAGCTTTGGTTTTCTATTGTGGAACTAACTGTTGTGGAACCATGTGGTACCACATGGCACCCGATTTCCAAAAGTGATGAGAATCTCAAAAGTACTTTGCAATGTGGCATGGAGCCTGTTCTTTAAAAGAAAGTGATAAAGACACTCAAGAACAGACATGCCTTGAGTACTGTTTGAATCTCAGCCAGTTTCTTTATGTGTGTGTGTGTTCATGTGCATATGCATATATGTCTCTGGTAGGTATTTCCAATTATAGTTAAAAATTATTATTAAGAAAACAAAACTTGCTTGTGATGGAAATAAGAACTGGATGGATGCAGCTGAGGCAACGCAGAGCTGCGTTGACATATTCTCTTTGCAAATTTGCTTTCAGTAAGTTTGCATGGAAGTCAATTACAAAAGTAAGTTCAGCAGATTGTGATGACAAGGCCTTGTCATCACCACCTGCTGGACTTCCTTTTGTAGTTGACTTCCATTTCACATGGACAACTGCTGAAGGCATGGAGATATGTCTAATTTATGCAAAAGGACCAGCAGAGGGAGCAAGGAACAAGCATGTTTTAAATAATGGGCTTGAAATAAGGGTGTGCGAGGAGATGGGGTGGGGGGTGAAAATCCAAAAAATTTCACGATCCCCCAGCCCAATTCTGGTTTGCCAGCCCTGCACTGGTGCTGACTCAGTACGGGGCAAGCTGAGCTGGCTCACTGACTTTTGTGTTGAAAGCAGCCCATGGTTTGAGCATTTTTAAATACTAAGGAAGTTTACACAAATCGTGCAATTTCAGTGTTTACATAAATTATGCAAATTGTGTTATTTTGCAGCTTTTGTGCAAAGACCAAAAAAGCAGGTGCTCTAGCAAAATTTCTAAGAAATTGTCCAATCCACACAAATTGAGCTAAATCCACATTCTTTTGGGGTGCCTATTTATGCACAACATGGGGTAAATTGCAAAAAGTTATGCAGTTTAGGTGAAGTTACACAGACTGGGCAGATTTCCTTAGCAATTTTTTTAAATACACAAACAATGACCTGCTTTTTAGAGACTGAGGTCTGCAGACCTCTTTCCTCCCCCAAGTCAGCCTGCTTCTAATCATTTGTTTGGAAATAGGCAGTAAGTTTGCTAAGCTCAAAGAAATCTGACTTCCCAGCATCAACACATCCTTAGTTTATGGCATTTTTCATTTTCTTCTTTAAAAAGGGAAGGTCCAATCCATTTGAATTATTTATACTTAATTTGTAACTGGGCAAATTTCAAAATATCATCAAAATTATGTGACTTTAAGTGTGACTTTAATTTTTCTAGCCAGTGCTGAATATTCCCTTAAATATATCACCTCGGCTATTCTTAATGTTTGAAACAATGTCTTCCTTTGTATGTGTGTGGGTGCATGCATGCGCATGCATGCTTACACATGTGTGCGCATCAATGAGAAGCATTCATTCAAGAGAAAAGCAAAGTATGTCTGGAAACAAAATGTTGGTTCCTACATCCTGAATAATTTTGCTCTAAAGGCCACTGTGTCATAGGAAATGGTCGAGACAGATGCTGATCTTAAAAGGTCACTGCTCATTTAAGAAGGCCTGTCTAATAGGATGCTTAATATGTATTGCTTTATTTGTAGTTAATTCTTATTTCGGTGTGCCTGTAATGACAATTAGATCACACTCTCACAGCTTTATTTCTGGGAGGAATCAACTATTTTAAAGGATCTGCTAAGAACATAAACATACACTCAGTGGATTGGCCCAAGAGTCCAGCTTACAACCCGTGGCCACCTAGATGCCTCTGAGGGCGGAGAAGCAGGGCATGGTGGTGATTGGCCATCCTCTTGCTTGCCACTGGCACCAGCAATACAGAGGCATACACTTATCTCATGGCCAAATCAATAACAACCCTAGATGGGAAGCAAAAGCAAAGGACAAGCCTGAACCCAAGAATGACACGTGGCTAGGGGACTTTTGTTTCAGAAGAATCGTTGCCCTGGTGGCTCTTAGAGGAGGAAAAATGGATCCAGTCTTAAATCTTAACGGTAATTTCAATGGCATCTAAGCAGAACTAGCCTTTTCCCTCAAACTTTGCCACTGTGTTTTAAAATACTTTAATACTGGAAACTGTAATCTGCCACTGACTGGTTTTGTTTATGAAAACTGCCTGGAAAATTAGCAAGCGGCCTGCCAATGTTTCCCAAAACATTAATTATGACACTTCAATATCAAAATGTTAGTCCAAAGACAAATTAACAGTGACCATCTGACTCAAGGTCTCCAAAACCGGCTTTCTAGACTGGACAAGTATTTCATATCACTGCTATTAATTAGAATTTTAGCAGAATGTGACTAAAGAAACTAGAAATATTTAACTGAGTCACAGCTCCATCCCTATTCTAGCAGGTTTTCAAAATACTCCCTTTTGTTGACTGTCAAAGATAGATTCATCTGTTGCATATAGTTTAAATTACCTGCACAGCATGCGACAAATCTGACATCAAACAGTGTCTCAGTTTCTCATCATTTCCTACTCCTTGCAAAACAAAGTCAGGTACGTAAGATGAACAGTAGCCACCTAGCAAGGACCTTCCAAAATTGGCAATACTGGGCTGGACAGAGTTCACTTCAATTAATTTTGACCTGAAAGAAAGGTATAACATGGGCATGTATACTACAACTAGCACTGATTTCGCTCTGCTTCAGCGCAATACCACAGTGGGCAATCTATTGCACAGTTAAGGTTACTTAAGTCCCATTAACTCTAGAGGGTCTTAGACATATACAACCATATGATGGATTTCCATCTTAGTCCAAATGATCTCATCTTCCTTGTTGATTCAATGTTGAAAGATGGGTAAAAGTTTCTACCAGTTCATAGATGGCAGAAACTACACAAATGCAAGAAAAAACTCATGGACCAGTGCTGAAATTAATAACTGTAGAACTATTTTTTCTTGGTCAAGTGCCTTTCTTTCAAGAGACTTTCTCAAATAAGGTATATACCCCACCAAGTGTGAAAGGTAATTTCAGACCCTTTAAGTGGCAACCTCAGTGAAATAAGCATTTCTTACATTGCTCTAATTAGTGCCTTGAAAGAAGCCCAGCTGAAACAATTAATCCATCATTTGTATGAGGAAAACATATACAACCTGTCTCTTAATATTAATTTTGCAAACACTAAGCATAGGTCTTTGTGCGTGTATGTGTGTACATACAGAAACACATAAAATGCATACATCTGTTCTATCAATAGATGCCATATTGGGCAACTATACCAAGGCCCCCATTTTGTAGGAATGCAGTGAACAAGACAGATGTGATCAAGTGCTAGTTTCCATAGGAAATACCTACCCAGGAAAAGGTATGTCTTCTTCTTCTGCCCATTCTTCTTGCTCTGCCCCATAATAGTTATTGTTTGTTCTGGCCACGTCGTGAGCTGCATCTTCACTTTCGCTGTCACCAAGGGCACTATCAGAACTTTCGTTTCTTGGAATGTCCCAATCCACACCTGGGTCAGCCTTTTTATCTGCATTCTCTCTGTCCCCATGGGGGACAAACATAGAGATCTTGTCTCTTTGGTCCTGCTCTGCAAAACAGTTTTTGCAAGTTTCTTGACGAACAGATTCCATAAACTTACAAAATTCGCTGGAGGATTTGTTGTTTTTTGTGCACGGTTTGGAGGGAAATTCTAGGCTACTGCTAGGATCTAAAATGTCTGTTGTTGCTTTCACTGGAATATCATCAATAGTCCTACTTTTAATTGAACCTTCCTCAGTAAAATATTCACCAAGAAGACTTGTACTTTCTGTATTGTAAGGATTCCAATTCTGCAGCTCGATGGCCACCTGTGGGAACTGTTCAGGCATATTCAGATTTCTTTGTTGGTCCTCCAGGAGTTGCCTAGCTTCACAGTTCTGATCGGCAGTTACTCTTTCTTCAGCCTTCATTTCGTTGGTGTGCCTGGCCATTTGTTCAGCTACTGCTTGACTTCGGACCTCAATATCTGAATCGGGTGACATGGAATCCCCTATGAGGAAAGTCACCTTTGTCTGGGCCTCAGCTGTGCTGCAAGGAATTGCCTCAGATGAGATTTTATCAGGCGGCTTCTTTTCTACCACAGTACTTGTTGATTTCATGACTTCCACAGACTGATCATCAGCATCCAGTGATGCCTCACTCTTCCATGATCCACCTGTTGGTTCCAATCTGGAGTCCGCCAAGGCACACGTTTCCACCGAGGCTGATCCTGCAAAAGCCACTCTCTCTAACTTTACATCCAGGCAAGAGCTCAGCATCTCTTTGCACTGCTTCAGATCATCAGGCCTTTCTTGGTGGTCAGCAGATGCAGATCTGCTTCCCCTCACAGAAGCCTCCATCTCTGTCTTTATGGCACCCTGTGAGTCTTCTCTCTCCTGTCCTGAAACACCTTCTGGATTTTGACCAGTTTTGAGAGGGCACTTGCAGTATTTGCAGCTGCAGTCCGAAGGCCGGACTTCTTCAGACTCCTGAAGGGGTAAACTGGCTCTGTTCCTATGCATTGTGACCAACACATATTCAGACTCCTCGACCTCCCCTTTCTCTAGGGTGGTGGTGATCACTGTGCCAGGCATCACAATGGCTTCATCCTCTCCATTTTCCAGGAGATGCGTCTCTTGAAGCTCAGAACATCGTATGAAGTAAGTGAGGAAATACAGCAAACGCTGCACCAGATCCTGCCTTTTGCCAACCACAATCGTTTTTGATAGTCTCACAGGTGACCCAATAGCTCCATACAGGTCTCCTTTGGGATAGAATATAAAAGAAACATTCTAATATGCATATTGCCTCATAAAGTACAATGTCATGACTGAAAATCAGACATGCTGAAATTTCCAAAACATAAACTTAACAGAGATCTTCAGTATAAGTTTGTATTTCAGTATAAGTATTTGGCTGGGATGGCTACAGAGCAAACTTTACCTGCAAAAATATTATGCAGCCCTGTTCTATTTAAAAGTGATTCCAAACTGCAGTCTGTGAGACTTTGACTTATGGGACTGCTGCAAAGATCACCTTGCCCATCTTAGTCTCTGCCATGTTGGGTTACTGGAAAGGTTGTGACCCTATGCTCACTCGGGAGCAAGCCTCCTTGACCATACAGCACTCGCTTCTCAACAGTGGTGCCAGGTGGAACCCTGATGTGCAGATGCTTATCACGGCAAGCTCCATAGCCATGCCCTGAAGGGCCATCCAGAAAGGTAGGAAGCCGAGCTGATCCATGGAACACATAAATCGCAAAGGGCAGGGACATGAAGCACAGCACTCAGTTTATCAGGAACATCTGAGAGAAGTGCCTGCTCCACTTCACTGCATGCTCCCCTCCATCACTGCTTCTGAAAACCCACACATGAGACCAGATCCTAATTCTTAACTAAAGCCTTCCAAGAATGGAACTTGTATCATAAAAGGAAGAAAAATACTTCAGGATTAAATGGTTCCCTCGAAAAATATGGGTGAAGGATTTGCAGAAGGAGGGAATATGGGTCTAAGAATAAAACACAAATACTGGTCCAGACTGCTAGCTCATCTAGTCTGCCCTGTTCTGATTGGCAGGGGCTCCCCACAGTGTCAGACCAAGGCCTTTCTGATTTTAAATCCTGCTTGAGATGTTCTTGATTATTTCTGCTCCTCCTTAATCCCCTGCTTTACTTTGTGGTTTACATTATTGTATTTTCTTATGCTTTAATTTATGGTAAACTACTCTGGAATTGAGAGCTGAAGAGTGATATATGCATATTTTAAAATAAAATAAAAATAAAACAAAATAATAAACAGAAAGATTAAGTGGAGACATGAGGTACTGAGGGAGAGACGGAACTGCTAATTCCCATTCTTGTTTATTTTCCTTAACCCAATTCAGCAGATAAATACTGATACATTAATTTGTATGTCATTTTCTTCCCCTTTCTCAACCCTCCCTCCTACAGTTTTCCTATTATACAAAGTAGTTTAACAAAAGTGGCATTTGGGGCTTGGAATAAATTCTCTGGGGTAATTTCAGACATACCTAGCTGTGCCCATAATGGATTGTATGGATGAGACTTGGCCAGCATGTCCACACTCTGTGAGGAATGCTTTTCTAGAAAGATCCTGATGGGTGGCTGGCCATTCGGCATGACTGTTGGAACCCAGGCCAGATGGTTTGTCAAAATTGCAGTCAGAAGAGCTGGGAGGAATCTGAAAGAAAAGAAGGCCTATAGTTTAGGCATAATCCAAACTCTACACAAAGATTTTTTTAAACATTCAGTTCTACGAAGAGAAACTTCTTATACAGGAAGCACCCTGCTTACTCTAGAAGAGAAGGAAGAGCTTCAGTTTGGATGCCCTAGCCAGGCAAAAAAGTCTGATGCAGCTCCACAGCTCTTGTGCATCACAAACTGCTATCATATTTGTCCAAGAGGTTCACATGTCCCTTCAATTTCTTGCATTGGGGACCTCTGAACAGCATTGCTAATAAACTGGAAGTTTATTTTTATTCTAAAATATTGCTCATCTGAAGGATTTCAAAGCTTGTAGTGTCAGCAGCTTTTATGGCCCATGCACTCTGGAGAAATAGAATTTTAAATGTGCCACTAGTTTGGAGAAGATGGAAAGTATATCACAGCTGTTATAGCGGCTTAGCAGTCAGGCCATAACATCAAGCAGCACCCTGAAATAAAAGTGTGTGTGTGTGTGTGTGTGTGTGTGTGTGTGTGTGTGTGTGTTGAGATCTGGCTATAGTCTTGCACTTCTTGGTTTCGCTATGGTTTAGTCTTCAACAGTCGAGAAGGGATGGCTAATACGTGATGGCCAGCTGTAACATCTGGTTTCAGTACTGTTTGGAGGATATATGGTTTGGCAGTTTGCCTCAAGTTTTCCTTTCTGTCCATGCAGATTTTCATATTGTCAGGCAGCCATCACTGGCTCCAAGTTTTAAAAGGAGTCCACAATGTCAGAGTTATTTTGTTAAGCCTACATTTTAAAAAATTAGTGAAGAACACAGCATGATTTTGACTTAACAAGGGTGAAATGTTTCCAGGAAGCTGAGATGTAAGATATTTACATAACAGAGAATCTTACAATATCCAGGCTATGAACTAAATTTTGGACAGTTAGTTTCAGTCCATTACTGTTGCCTATTAAAACTTCTGAAGAAAAATATGTGCTTAAAAACTCTTTGCTCTGTAAAACTATATGTGGTTTTATTAACATTTAATTTTAGATGCTAACTAATTCACATCTTTTACATCTTTTAGCTTCTGGCTTGAACAGTAGTTTCCATGTGCTAAGTAATTAGCGTCTTACAGACCCTTATCTGGGATTCATTCCCACTCACCTCGGTGAGGGTTATTTCTGCATGGACATGTATTTGCTTGCTAATGCTGAGTAAAACTGAATTCAAGCCATGAAAAAAATAAGAAAAATGCTATGGGTTTCATCTGTGCTTTCACCCAGTGCTGCTGCTGAGAGTACATTTTTGGATCCTGGTGTATGGCATTTTCTCTTTCATGAGCTTTGCAGCTTTTTACAGGATCAGGACACTCATTATACATGTACTTACTGAAATTCCACTTCACTTAGTAATAACTTATTTGATTTCTTTGAACAGTAGCTTCCACATATATCACATGCCCATTTCATAACACATATCCTCCTCCTTTACCATGTAACAGCTCTGAAGCTTCTTAGTGCCCTCCAACTGTTTGCACTTCAATTCCCATCAATCCCAGACAGAATGACCAATTGCCAATAAAACTGGAAGTTAATAGTCTAAAACTCCTAAAAGTACAGAAGGCTGTACTTTCTTTTCTTAAGTTCATCCACACTTCATTCTCCAGCTAATCTACCACGTTGATCTTTAATATTGCAACATTAAAAAGCAAAAGGGAAAGGAAAGGAATTCTTTACTGGTTCTTGGAGGCTTGTTCCATTAAGAAAGTAAACTCCTTCATAAAGCGATGACAGAGCTGGTTTTTCTCAGGCATTCCAGACATCATGGTAAGCCAAACAGGTTCTGCAATCCGTGGCATAGTGTAGAGATTACAAATGGTTGTTCTAATGTAAAAAAAAAAAGAAAAGAAAAGAAAAAAGACTAAGTGCTCATGGTAAAAAATCTGTTACAATATAGGAAAACATTGTATCCTAGGTTGGAACTATTTCAGTAGAAGTAAATTGCCATTTTACTAGTAACCAGAGAATATGCACTATTCCTGGGTAACCTCATCACATCCCATAGCTTTCAGTACCACCTATATGTTGATGACACAATGGCACTCGATCCTACTTCTCTCCCCAAATCTTCCACCTGTGTACAAATCCCACATCTGTCTGATCAGATATTTGTCATAGAAAGTTCAATAAGTTCAAGACTCAATTTTTCATCTTCTCCTCATTGATGTTAACATCCTGCAAGAGTAGGCCACATGTTTTTGACTTCAGCTGGACCATTCTGGACCACTGGACATGCCAGGAGGGGCTTGTGGGTCTTGAAGTTCAGTGTATCCATAAATCTACCTTCTGGCCACTCCCAATCGACTACAAATCTGTCTATTTGACATTTACATTTAGGTGAATGCTGGCCAAATGTCATTACTTGACTTGGAGTGTATCTTAATTTTTTCTTCCTTATACTATGATATAAATCTTTCAAGTGGTGTCTTCAGGTGAGTTAGAGATGCCATAACTAAATCATTTTTACATGAAACCCTGGTGGTATCATATCCATTGTGGATGCTAACACAGAAATCAGGGTTTCACATTTTCACAATGACTCTGACTGACATATTAGAAATAATATGAGTTGTTTAGCTAGCACTTATTTATTTATTTAGACAACTTATATGCCGCCCCATTGCCTGAGCCTTGGGGCGGCTTACAATCATTAAAATCCCGTATAAAATGCAAAAAATTCATCAAATAAATAAAATACATAAAATAAAATAGTGGAAACAGCCTGGTCAATTTAAAATCAACAAGTAAACCATTAACAGTTAAAATAGCATTTAAATAAAAAGGCCTTGGCCTGGCGCTGAAAAACAAATAACGACGGCGCCAGGCAGACCTCTCTGGGGAGCGCATTGCATAGGTTGGGTGCCACCACAGAGAAAGCCCTCCTCCAAGTACTCACCCTCCTAATATCCTTCACGGACGGTTCCTGGAGAAGGACATCCATTGCTGATCTCAAGGGGCGGGAGGGCATATATGGATGCAGGCGATCCTTTAGGTAACCAGGGCCTAAGCCGTTCAGGGCTTTGTAGGTGAGAACCAGCACCTTGAATTGGGCCCGGACTTCAGTGGGGAGCCAGTGGAGCTGACGGAGGATTGGGGTTATACGAGAACAATGCCCAGTCCCCGTCAGCAGCCTGGCAGCAATATTTTGCACCAATTGAAGTATCCGGACCGTCTTCAAGGGCAGCCCCACATAGAGCGTGTTACAGAAGTCTAATCGGGAAGTGACCAATGCATGTGTCACTGTTGCCAGGCAGTCATTCTCCAGGTACTCTACAAACCTCAGAGAAGTATGCTACCTAAGGTTCCACAAATGTTTGTGTTTCTACCAAAATTTTTATCTCCTTCATACAAACTCCCCAAATTTATCCTCTTTCTTTAAGTGATAATCCCAAACCTTCCCACAATTTTCATTTCTATTCTTTCTTGGGTATTTGTAGTGAAAACATTTCCTGACAAATGCTTTGAGAGCCGTCGGGGGGGAGAGGAAGGGTAAGATGAAAGGATAAAAAAATGCAAAAAAGACCAAAAAAAGATGACTATAGGTGTTATTTCTAGAGAGATTACTATATTTTTGATAAGGGCTTAGGAATAGAAGTAGATTTTAAAACATGTATAAAACTGAGGTAAAAAGTGAAGAAGTTAGGGACATAACTCAGGCACCCAAAATGGCAGTTGGAAATGAACAGGGGGAAATGGCAGAAGACCCACCTTTATATACTAAGGGGGGGAGAGGCAGGATTCCCACCAAAATGGGCTTAGCTAGGAGAATCTTCCCAACAACAGACACCACACAGAGCCCCTATGTCCTGCACAGAGACCACGAAGAAGAACCACTCTTTCTTGTGCTTTTCGAAAAAGCTTGAAATTTAATCAGTTCCTTTGCCTCCTAGAATTCTTACTCATTGTGAATGTCTCATATAGTTAAATAATTTGTTCATAAGTATCCTACATTCTGAATAAACAACCCATAGTTCTGGTTCTCTGATGCCTTAGTTGACCATGTCTTAGCAATGAAAGCCTCAGGTCAGTTAAAATTCCTTGGTATAAACTGCTCACTAAGTCTGGCATTTTCAGAATATTAACACCTCTCTAGTTTTTATGGCTCCAGTAACTTTCTGTCTACGCTCCTATAATACAACAGCTATCCATTTAATTCTTTTCTCACCATTACCATCACCCAACCTTTAGGTGAAGCACAAAGCCATGATTTTGTGTATGACGCTCTCACTCTCCTTTGTTTCCATATCCACTCTGTCACTAAGTCATGTTATTTCTCCCTTTACTGTTCCTTGGCAAAAGCTCTAGTCCACGCTCTAGTCATCTCTTGTCTTAGCCACTGCAAGCCTCTCCTCTCTGATCTTCCATGATCTCATCTTGGTCCAGCCTTCTGTTGTCCAAGTCTTTCTCTTCTCTCACTGTTCTATGTGGCATTCATCCTTAAATCTCTTTGGCTTCCTTTCTGCTCTCAAATCCAACACAAGCACCGCATCCTGATCTTTATAATCTTCCATGGCTTTGCTATCTGCCCAATGTCAGATCAGTCATCCAGTTCCATCACCCATGACCCTCCGAAAGCCTCATGCTCCCTTATATCTTTGCTGCCTTTTATAGCTCAAACGGCCTCCCAGGATGCCTCTGTGAGACCGCCTCTCCTACTTCCTTTAAACTTCACATTTCCATCGAATCTTTTGGAGAATCTCTTGCAGAAGTGGGCAAGTTATAGGCCAAGTAACTGATAGGCCACCTAACCCACCATGCCATATCACTGCCTATGTAGGCAAGGGCAGATGAAGTTGTCAGAGAAGAATATTTGGAAGGCCACAAGTTCCCCATCCCTGGAAGCAGAAAATGGTAGGACGGCGATTTTCACCACCATAAAATGAGAGCCAGTGGGTTTTGTGTGTGGGCATATGTTAAAACAGAAACTGCTTTGGATATGCACTCCAGTGCCGAGGTGGGGGAGGTAAGTCAAATAATGTTTTATTTTCTTTTAAATGGTATGAGCAGAAGGAAAAGTGAATGGCAGCACTCATTTCAGTACCTATGACACAATCACAACCACAAGGCCCACAGGACTAATTTTTTCAGAAGCAGAGGTTGCCAGAGGTTCATTTGGGTAAAGACACAGCTCCCTAACTGCTCAGGAGTTCTCCAGCAACTCAGCAGTGCAGGACAAAGGTGATTTTCTGGGAATTTTTCTGGAAAAATTTGGTTCAACTGTTCTTTCCCAAACTAAATGCACATGCAAACTGCACACATGACCTCACCTGAAAAGGCCCATCAAATGGGAAGCCACACTGGAATGAGAGTGTAAGAACAGCCAGAGCGGCCTGCAGTCCGCAGCCCCCTCTTTACGAGCAGTGCTGTTCCCGTTAGGCTATCCACAATACAGATTCGAGACAAAAGCCCAATGTAAACAAGCTTCCCATAGGGTTACCTTTCTGCTCCTTGGACCAGACACATAGATCCCATTGATCAGAAAGGGCTCTAAAATTGCTTAAAACAGATGCCTGTGCTTGCACCCTGAGGTCAGGCAGTATTAGAAGCGTGAGGTAAAACCGAAAGCTCAGGAAAATAATTTTAAAAAGAGGCTTTTGGGTTTTGTTTTGAGCCAAGGCAAACCTCTCAGAAAGCTTATTCAGTTTGAGTAAGATGTTCTAGGGAGCGGGGAAGCGTCTCTCTCTCTCTCTCTCTCTCTCTCTCTCTCTCTCTCTGTGTGTGTGTGTGTGTGTGTGAAACAGTTTCTGTTCTAATACCAAGATATTAAGCGATTTGTTTTCACCGAAAGGCTAGCCTGAGTCTTGTGACTCGTTATTTACTATTCTGGTAACTGTGGCTGCATCTGCAACTGATAGTGTTTCCTCAGAGAGAGATCAGATTCCACTGGCTGGCTGCCAGCAGGCATGTGACTGCAGCAAAGGGAACCCTCAATGCCAGACACGTAAGTAATTGCACAGAACAACTAGGGTGAGGATTAGCTGCCTTTCAGCCTTGCAAACAGGGGAAAAGCCTGTCTTTCCTTGCTCCCTGAGATATGCAAACTGCACAGACGTATTTCCCACCACCACCGCCCTTTCGAGGCGCCACTTGTAGCCAGCCTTCTTTCAAGGCCTGAAACAAGCCCCACATTTAACAGAATCAACACTGGATTAGACATCAGCACCTTACTGGAGTCTAAGAAAACTTCCTTAAGAAGCTTCTTTTCCTGAGAAAGTTCCAGTAAAAAATGAAAAAGGGCCTGGGCTTAGAAGTATTGACAAGTAAGGAACTCTTAAGCAGCAGCAAAAAGGAGGCCAAAAGAAAAATTGAATAAAACATCCATGTGCGTATTTTTATGTATAGGCACACCTTTAAAAATTAGTGTGATTTGAAAAGAAGCACATTATAGCGGGGAAGGCTAACGAGGTGATCTGCATTGACTACTGATGGGCAACTGTAATACCCCAATTCTCTTTTCTTATGGCTCTTTATATTTAAATCAGCTGAATAAGTGGGGGAACCTTGGGAAAACCTCATTAGCAGAGTGATGGATAGAGGAAGATATTGCACTAGAAGGACGACGTGTCAGAGGAGGGGGGCACGGCCTCAGCACTGCTGTGTCCTGGCCCTCTTTGCACCTGCAGGTTTCATGGCTGCCCTATCAGCCTGCCCTCGGTTTTCAGGGGGGAGGGTGCTGTTCTTAAATGCCAGATAGGAGCGAAAGAAGACCGCTCTCATTCTTTATCTCACAGTGAGAAGCAGCGATCTCAATCCTACATGCAGCCAATCTAGCTTACATAACCAAGACCTGGAGTACTTGAATCAGTATCAGGGCAGACTTAAGG